CCCCCCGCCCAATATCATATGCTTTACTGAGATAGGGGTTGCTGCAGCCCTCTGGGCAGTTGGGGGATAGAGCCTGGAGCTCCCAGAGCCGCCTTCATGTACCCCACCATGCCATTCATATATTTCCAAAATCTGAGGTGTGAAAAAAATGTGAATCACCGCTACAGGATTCTATCTGGTAGGATTTCAGAATCTATCTCAAATGTTAACTACTTCCTGATTCCCCTCCTCACCCTACTTGAATTATCGAAAAAAACAATTTATAGAGTGCAGTCATTATGAAGCTCCTCGAACCCTAACCTCATATGATGGAACCTTACATTGCAAGTAGCCTGGCATTCTTATTCCCCATTTAACAAATGAGAAGGTAGAGATACAGAGAGATAAAGTGCTTTGTTCAGGGGCATACAGCAGGGACATGATCCCAGAGCTCTCTGACACCAAAACATGTGATTTCAAGTACCCTGTGCCTGAGTGTGCTTAATAGTAAGTGAAGGAGATCATAACCTTCCAACCAAACCCGTAGTGCTTTTGTTTATTAGAATTAATCACTGCCTCCCACACCAGTTTAGCATTTATAGCTGGGCCTCTGCATTGGTGAATTGAACCCAACCATGGGTAGAAAATATTCCAGAGAAAAAGCTACACTGTTGCTGATGTGTACTTAATAGGCCTAGGATGGTTGCCTCTGCACTAAACATGCACAGACTTTTTTTTCTTGTTATTATTCCTTAATACAATATAACAACTGTTTACATAGTATTACATTGTATTAGGTATTAGAAGTCTAAGATGATTTAAAGTATGTGGGAGGATGCGCTTAGGTTATATGCAAATACTATACCATTTTATAGAGGGGACTTGAGCATCGGTGGATTTTGGCATGGATTTTGGCATTCGAGCAGGCGGTTGGGAGGCTGGGGGGAAGACATGGAACCAATCCTCCTTGGATACCAAGGGCCTCCTGTATTTCATCCTGACTAGTTATGTTTTCTTCACTAGATTGTGTTTTGAGAGAGAAACTAGGCCTCTTGTTTCTTTGTAACGCCTATAGCATTTAGCAATGGTGCCTGTAACAGTTAAAAAACAGGTTAGGAGTTCAATCGTGGTCTCTTTGACATCGTTTTCATGGTTGAGTAAAGGATCCAAATAGCACTAATACAACTTTCTGGGATGATAAAAATGTTTTATATTTGCTCTGTCCAGCAAGGTAGCCACTTGCCACAGTGGCTGTTGAGCACTTGAAATGTGTGACTAAGGAAGTAAAGTTTTAAATATCTAATAAAAAATTTAGTTCCTGAGCTTTACAAGCCACAATTCAGTTGTTCACTCATGTGGCCAGTGGCTACCATATTGGACAGTACAGAGTTAGAGGATGCTCTTTCCAGCATCAGAATACAGCGTCCTAATACCCATGCTTCCTTCTTGAATTGGCAATGTCCCCCCTCTAAAGTGGAAAAGATTTTGTGCCCTAGTGTTCAAATTGATCAGCCCCTTAGGTTCTAGCCCACCCTGAGTCTTTAAAAGTAGACATTTATATCTATGGTCAAATCATTTTCCCTAAAGTATTTACAGACTGTCTCTGGGTTGCCTTCAAAATATTTACGAGACTTAACAAAAATTACCTTTTCTTGCTTAAATACTACCTCTATTCCTGCTGTGTTATTTTCTTTCCATTTTCTAGGAATAATTCTTTATTCTTTTGGGCCCTGTTTTAGATAGAACTCCCATCTTTATGGAGCAGTTTGGTGTAAAATGCTCTTAGATGAATATTTTTTAGTAATGTTTTTGTATCTTGGCCTGAATGCAGATAAATAGGCCTTTTTTTCCCCAAAGTTACTTTTCTAGATATCAAAACCAGCCAAATAAATGAAAATTTTTGGTCTAGCTAGTTATTTAAACTTGGCTCAATAACTATTTCAGCCAATTTGGAATGGGCATAGGTAGGGTGTAAAAAGATCTGTTATATGAGCATGTTGTCATACTGGAAAGACATCTAAACAAGTGAGCTGTCACCTGGGGCTGGAGTGGAGGGTGTGTGTGTTGTATGCATTATGACTGTGTTCAAATACTCGAGGGCTTTGTCGTATTACCTTTACACACTTGATGCTTATGTTGACTATTCAGAGTGCTGGATGTGGAGAGATAAAAATTTTATCCTAAATAAACCCCCATTACTAAGTTTGAGGATGATGACAATTAATTGGCCTTGTAGATAGTGAAAACCTTGGCTCTCTGGCCTCTTAGTGTCTTATTTGTAATACTTAAAAATGTATCAGGTTTTGAATGTCCAAATTGACATTTTTTAAAATGGTTTTTTTTTTATGTAAAGTACGTGGAATTTATAAAGCTTCATTTACTCAAATCTGCTTTGTTGAAGTTCTGTTTTGCCTTTTTTTTTTTTTTTAATTGGGGAGCAGCTATGGTTATTGGTTATACATTGCTTTCCTGCTACAATGGCATTGTCGACTCTTTTTAGGGAGAGCACAGCTCACAGTGGCCCATGCGGAGATCGAATAGGTAACCTTGGTGCTGTCAGCACCACCCTCTAACCAACTGAGCTTACTGGTCACCCCTGTTTTACTTTTGAATCTATTAACTTTCATGGCATTATAGACTTGGTAGTTTTTTACTTGCAGCATCCCAGAATAAGGTTTGCTTTAAAAAAAAGCCTTTTGCCGTAATCATACCTTTGTGGCAACATAACTGCAGGTTTTTAATGTTCTCATCATTTGGCTATCAAAATTATATTATTACCGGAAGGTTAATACAATTCAGGGTACCCATATTTAATTTTATGAACTAGTTAAGTCATCGGTTTAAACTATAATGTGCTTTAAAAATCTTGTTTTTAACTTGGGTTACTCTTTTGTAGCTACATTTAAAAATGTCAGTACTTATGCCTGCTTGTCAAAATTTATACATGCTGTGTGCATTTCAAAAGAAACAAGGGGTTTCTGAGAGAAATGGAGTAAGGACTAGTTATTCAAGTGTGTAAAGGTTGACCTAGGGCTTGCTTGAGTTTTTCAGGTACTTTGGCATTGGAGAAAACTTATTCAGTGTTTTGAACTACTGGCTGTGTTCTTATTTATTTCTTTTAGGACAAAACTGGGACCAAAAATTGTAGTGATGTAACTTTACGGTTGAGAAGTTATGTGCATAGAAGCCAGGAAATTCAGTAATGTTCCCCCAAGCAACTGTAACTCAGACATATTGCATGAGGTTTTTATGGTTTAAAATATGATACCATATAGAATAATAGGAAATGATACATTTAGTATGTATAAAAGAGAAGAATTATGGTTTTTATGGGAGTCATAATTTTGTATATCCAGATTTCAGACATGTGTAAATTTTCAGTAATAATGTAGCATTAATACATATTTGTATTTGAGATAAATATCCACTGGTGCATCTAGCGATTCCTCTGGATTGTAGAATTGATGTCGTTGATTGATTATGGATATTGGAATGTTCAAAGAAAAATTTTTAGTCTAGGAGCGTCAATTACAAGAATCTATTTTAAAATTAGAACCTAACTCAGTCTTTCATTCTGCAGTATTTGATAATTTACAGTGAGTTAGAAATGTTCATCTTGGCAATAGAATAAATGAAAATCTTGGTATTAACATATTGTGGAGAATATTGACTGCTTATCTTTTAGTAATTTTAGATTGCCTTCATCTTTACCACTAATTAATTAACCCTGGTTAAAATAACACAGAAATGATGATGACCTATTCTTGTTTTGTTTTTTTATAAAAATTGTGTTCTCAAACTTCTTTTGTTAAAGATGTTGAAGAGTTCCTTAAGTTGTTTTTCAAGCGTATAGCAGCCTTGATCTCAAGTAGATCATACTTGTCTTAAAAATTTTGGGGGGAGTAGCTTAGGGCAAAAGAATTGTGAATTGAGAATTTCCTTGGTGTAAGTTAAATTATCTTCTTTTCTTTTTTTCCAGCCAAATCAAATAGGAAGCTTACTTTTTTATACTTAGCAAATGATGTCATCCAAAACAGTAAGCGGAAAGGACCTGAGTTCACTAGAGAATTTGAATCTGTCCTTGTGGATGCTTTTTCTCATGTTGCCAGGTATGTTTCCCCTTTTTTCATTCTGTTTTGTTTTTAAATGCATTACCTTTCCTCCTTTTTGTTCTTTCCTTTTCCAAGATAGCCTTTGTGAACGTACTTTACAGAGATTGGTGGAGAGGCCAAATTACAGTTGTATGTTTTGCTGGGCCCTTAGAAACTCTCTCAGATGTGTAAACATTGTGATACATTGAAGAGATCTAGCACCTGAAGTACATCTTTTTCCCTAGATGTATTCATTTATTGAATTCATTTCTTGAACATGGTATTTTTCTTCTTTTGGTTGAATAGCCTCATTAGCTTATGGTAAAAAAACACAGTCAAGTGGTACAAGGGAACCTTCCAGTAACAAAACCTTAATTAGCAAGAAATTCGTTGCTTATGCATTCATTTTTACTTACTTCCTTCTGGATGTTTACATGTCTCGTTTACTAGAAATAGTCATTACTGTAACTGCAAAGGTAATTACTAGTGTGGAAAGTAGATGTTTGCTCTGGCTGTATCGTATGAAGTCTTGGTCACTATCGTGTTTTGTAACAGCACTGGAGCATAGAGCATACATGCAGCTAATATCACAGAAAACGTAACATTGATTAGAAGTTTTATAAATTATTCTTATTATTTAAAAACAAACTGCTTTTCTGTAGACATAAGCTGCTCAGGGGGAGCAGAGAAAGACTAGTTTATACATTACTAAGTAGACATAAAAATAAACATCTTCTTTTGCAAAAGGAAATTGAGAAAGGCACAAAGGAGACTAGTGGGTTAAATAAAATCTGTTCTAGGGTCTAAAGTGTAAGTGAAAGGTCTTAAATGTGAAAATATGTCTGGCATTCCATGAAAGATTTGAAACATTCAAAGGAACAAAATGAGAAATCCTAAAGAAAGAAATGACATCTAGCTTACTAAAGATGGAGAAAAAGATTTTTTGATTGTCCACTGCATAGTTTGCTCTTTCTTTTGGTGAACACAGACACTGAAGAAGCAGAATGCGTTATGAACTTGAATAAATACTGACTACTCATCACAGAGAATAAGCTTAGAACAGGGGTTGGCAAACTGCGGCTCGCAAGCCACATGTGGCTCTTTGGGTACGTTCCATCTCAAAAGTTTGCCAACCCCTGGAAGAGCCAATCCTGTCCCTCACAACAATTTAAAAATTATTTGAGAGCCATAAATATATTTTTACAAATAAGGAAAATTTTAAGTAATATTATAAATGAAACTATGATAGTTTTATTTTTATTTTCAATTTTTCTTCAAAGCCACATGTACGTCCCCAAACAGCTGCATATGGCTTGCAAGCCGCAGTTGGCCGATCCCTGGCAGCTCTTCCGCCTCAAAAGTTTGCCGAGCCCTGGCTTAGAACAAATTACTAGAGTAGCTGTCTGAAATCAGAGACAGGCATTTTCTTGTTTTGAGGACATTTAGTTCAGTTTCTTAGATGTTGGCTGTAGTTCTGCCTCCAGCACTGAGTGACTTTATAGATGTGTCCCTTAGCTGATTGAGCCCAAGTTTCTTAATTGGTTAAAAGGGGATGATGACACCACCTATCTCAGAGTTGTTGTGAGACTAAAGTAAAATAGTATGTTTGAAAGTATATAGGACAGTGAGCACAGTGACCGATCCACAGTCTTTGCTCCTTCTTGGGAATATACTGAATTATAAACTGTGAAGAGAAAGACCATTTCTGTTGTGGTTTTTGCTGTATCCCAAGCACCTGGTGAAGCATGTGGCATGGAGCTGCTGGGTTACAGAGCTTTAGGGAACACCATGTGAATGGGCGGTGTCCCAGGAGCTGGGCAGCATTGTGGTCTCTGCCCTGGCACAGAGCAATTCAGTCACTATTCGATGAATAAGGTAATTAATTCAGGGTATAGGAAGTTGACTGAAATAGTTTCCTGTAGTGCTAGTAAATACAGTGTTTTTATTTAAAAATTGAACAATAATTGTTCGCTGCACCAAAACCAGAAAAGGGTAAGTAGAAAGAGATGGGGGAAGGGGGATGGGAATACCAGGATTGAGAATTCCTTTTATACTTGGTAACATCCTAAAACCTAGCTAGGAGGAACTGTAAAAAGGCCTTGGCAGAGCCTGTGGCATTGTGGGGAAAATAAATCTGGTCCTTTTTAATTTAAAAAAAAACTTAACCTTCATTCATTCATTCATTCTTTTTTTTTTTTTTTTTTTTTTAAGCTGAGCCATCCTGTCACCTGTTGGCAGCTCAGCAGCTGCTCAGCTCGGGCCGGGACTCAAACCGCTGTTGCTCAGAGCTCAAACTCTTGAGCGAGCTCTTAACCAACTGAGCCACTCGGCCGGCCCTCATTCATTCATTCTTTTTCGTTCTTTTCTTTCCTTTTTTTGAGTTCTTCTAGTTCTTTTAACACCCTTTGTGGGTATTATATTTGGGATCCCCATGTTTCCGTACCCCTCCCCCACCACTGTTAAAACAGAAAGACCCGTCACTCTGCCTAATCAATAGTAAGAAGTGCTCTCTGTATGGTTTTCCTGTGGCCAGTTGGTGGGCAAAGCTAGGTGACCTGTTAATATTGACCAAAGTTGATTAGTAATCTCTTTATGATAATTTCCTACCTCCTCCCTCATTCTGCCCCAAACCAAACTTCTCAAGTCAGAGAAAGCTGCCAAGCTCATAGGGTAGATTTAATTTGAATAGCAGTTTAATTAACCAGACTGAACTTTTTTCCCACACGATGCCTTCTTGTTTTCTTCCCAGTTTGGAGATAGTTGTGCCCCTCATTTTTCATTCAACATGTATTTGAGTGCCCTCCATGTGCCAAGAACTGATCCATACAATAGGGAGCAGCCGTGAATACAGCAGACAAGGACAAATAAATGAACAAGATACTTTCAAATAGTGTAAAATGTGGACATATAAAATAGAATGACATCCTGGAGTGGGACCTCTTCTGGTATGGTGAAGGAAGGCATCTCTCAGGAAATGACTTTTGAGGTGATCAGGTGAAGCAGGAACAGCTGTTAAGAGCTTCAGGTAGAGGTAATCTTGGCATGTTAAGAGGATCAGCATGAAGGCCAGTGTGGTGAGAACACGGTGAGCAAAGGGAAAGGGGGCATCCAGATAAGATCAGAAAGGTAGGCAGGTGCCAGTCACACATGCCTTGCAAGCCTTGGAAGAGAGGATTTTGCTCTGATGGGATGTGAGTGAAGGGTTTTAAGCAGGGGAATAATACTGTTAAAAGATCCCTCTGGCTTGGTTTGGGGAATGGGCTATCAAGTCCCAACGGAGGGGCAGGGACATTAGTTTGGAGGGTATTGCTTTAGCAGAGACTAGTGACATCAGCTAGGACTCAGAAGCAGTGAGAAGATAATATTGGGCTGTCGGAAAAGTCATGGCGTATTTTTCCGTTTTTCATTGCAAAAATGCGTCATGACTTTCCCGACAACCCAATAGCTTCTGTTTATTGAATTTACTTATTTACTTTGTGGATAGATTTCCCGCCCCACTCCCCCACCCCCCAATGTAAAACTGATAGGATTTATGGGAATTGTGTGGGAGCTGGTAGTAAGGGAAAAGAGAAATCAAAGATGATTTCTAGGCTTTTGACATAAGTGGATGGCCAACGGTGCCCTTTACTGAGATGAGGTTTGCGGGGGTGGGGGGGTGAATACGGTAGAGGAAATCAAGAGTTTTGTTTTGGCTGTGTTAAGTTTGAGATGGCTAGTAGACATTCCAAGGGGCGATCCAGATGCGCAGATGGATAAAATACTGGCAGACCTCGTTTTATTGTGCTTAGCATTATTGTGCTTCACAGATGTTGCCTTTTTTACAAATTGAAAGCAAGACCCTCCATGAGCAAAAAGATTATGGCTTCCTTTATTGAGATACTCGCTTTATTGCGGTGGTTTGAAACCAAACTTGTAATATTTCCAAAGTATGCCTGTAGTCTGAAGCTCAGTCGGAAATTAATTTCTGGAGACATAAATTTGGAGTTAGCACCATATGCATGTTTATTTACCGTTGTGTTATGGGTCCCCAAGACCACGCCCAGGTTTAGTGACTTGCTAGGAGAACTCAAAGACTTAGTATATAGTTGTACTTATGGCTCTGAGTCATTACAGCAAAATCAGTGAAGGGAAAAAGGTGCATGGGAGGAAGTCAGGCATAAGCTTCCAAGAGTCCTCTCACAGTAGAGTTACTTCAAGACCTACTTAATTCTGCCAGTATTGAGTTATGGCAACAGGTGTGAAATGTATACCTGGGAAGCTCATTAGAGACTCAGTGCCCAGGGTTTTGATTAGGGTTGGCCACTGGCATCCTCTGCCAAAATTCCAGACTCCTAGAAAGAAAGCAGGTGTTCAGCATAAGCCTTATGCACAAACAGTTTAGGCACAGTCAAACACCCTTATCAGGTGGCAGGAGCACTCCTGAAACCCAAGCTCCCAGATGCCCGCCAAGGGCCAACCTTGTAAGCAGGCCTTTCTAAGGGTAGCTGTTCCAGGCTTGCTCTGGTAACTCTTTTCTATCCACTTACGAAGGAACATTTCTGCTCCAACTATACATGAGATGCTCTTGAAAGCGTTGGAGATACTTAGAAAGAATTCCTGCCCTTAGTAGGCTGCCGTAGACCTACTGTACATGGGATAAGACAGAAACACAGAAATTAACAGTGGTTGTACAACGAAGTGCTGTTAAAACTGCAAAGGAAGAAATGCCCCACCCCCCACCCCCCAGCTGGCTTGGCAAGGCATCCAGCCAACACTCCAAGCGCAGTCATATGTGTGTATAATACACGCTCTTCACTTTTTAAATGAATTTTGCAGTGATTGAATTTATAATTAATCAGAATTTAAATACATATTAAGTTGTGTTCAACATAATAAATTATGTACGTAATTATCATTTTGCAAGTTTATTCTTCGATAAGTGACAACGATTTTTTTGGTGTTTTTTCACTTAAAAGATTTCTCAATTTAGACTGGAGTTAGTGCAACCTGACAAGATAGCTCCTTCTATTGTAAAACTGCTTTATTGTTTCAGTTGTGTCTAGCTAGGTGCTGACATGACTTCCCAGTGTGTTGGAGCAACTTAATGACAAAACCTCATCAGTCGGAAGATTTCTTGACTTGTTATCTGTTGTTATCTGTAACTTTGAAACTTATCTGGCAAACCTTGACTTTAGAGTGTTCAAAGAATTAGCTTATCCTGGTTAAGTACATTCACCAATTAACCTAGAGCCCCCTTTTGGCTTTAGCTTTTCATGGTGAAAGTCTTTGGAAAATGTCTTTAGGTTATAACAGGTTTGAGCATCAGTTTCTATTGTATAGTAATATGGCTGAAACTGTATTGAAACCTTAAGTCTTAAGTCTTAATTGAGTCCCAAATGTCCCCAGGGATGGTGGGTGGGTGGGTAGGTGTTGTGCCCCTCCCCTTCCTTCTAACTAAATCCTAGATAAGAATTGGTTGTCATGATTGGTTTCTCTTTCTTTTAAGTGAAGGGAGAATTTTCAGAGAACAGATTTTGTGTTAAAAGTACCAACCAGCTAATTAAGCTCTGATTAGTTGTGACTTGGTTAAAATGACTGTTTTTCTAAACCATAAATTCGATCACATTTGGGACTTGCTTTTGCCTTCAGGATAAAGGCCACACACTTAAGAAGGCATTCAGGACCCGCTAAAATCTAATTCCACTCTGTCCCTCCAGATTCTTTGGCTGTTTCTACACATTCCCCATACACTTAAGCACTTAAGCCACCTGAGTCATTCACAATGTCTCCCTTTTCACTTTGTTCTTGTTTGGGGGTTCCACTCAACAGAGAGGAGATGGCATGAGCAAAGGCCCATGCACAAGCGGTTGCAAGTTCTGAGTAGAAAATAAGCATGGTCCAGCGTTGCTAGAATGTGAAGCCCCAGGCAGGGTGTGGAAAGGTGAGCAGCTGCTGGGCCAAGCCCTAGAAGTCAGGGCCAAATCCTGTGTATTCCAAGCACAGTACAGATTTCATAAACTTCAGTGAGTGAGCGGGTGAGTGCTTATCTGGTTGTCTGACATGAATGACCTTGATGTAGTAAGGTGATTGCTGAAAGTTAACTTTCAGCAATTGTATGGCTTACTGAAACCTATTTTAAAATGTTTCAAAAAAGATTACAATTAGACAAATATCATGCTTGTTCTAGGGCGAATAGCAGTGGGGGGAAGAAGACAGATCCCTGTCCTTGTGGAAATGGCATTCAAATGGAAAGAATGTAAGCAAGTAACTACAGAGCATATCAGAAGATAAATTGTGTGGAGAAAAATTAAGTAGGGGTTGGGGGTGTAATTTTAAATGGGGACGTTAGGGGAAGACTCACTGAAAAGGTGCTGTGTGAGTAAACACACACCTGGAAGAGGAAAGCCAGTGAGCCTTGCCACCATCTCGGGAAATGTGGTTCCAGGCAAAGCGAACGTCAAGTGCAAAGGCCCTGAGGCAGGAGGGCGGGCCCTGGTAGCTGTAGTGCCAGGAGGAGGGGAGGCCAGAGAAGTAACGGACTGGGTAGAGAATGGCTTCCTAAGGACTTTCACTTTTATTCTGAAGGAGAACAGGAAGACCTGTTGGAAGTTTTGAGCAAGAGTGACATGATCTGCCTTAACACAACAGCTCGACTTATATTTTTAAAGCTGTAGAATAGGTTGTAGGATGACCAGGGTGGAGGAAGGAGACCAGTAATGAGGCTATTGTAGAAATCAGGCAGAAGGTGATAGTGGCTTGGACCAGGCTGAGAGCAGAGGAAGCAGTCAGCAGTATGTTGTTTCTAGGTACAGTTTGAAGGTGGAGTAAAAGTGTTTTATCACAAATTCCAAATAATTAGGTCGTATCTTTATGTTTTGTTAACTATTTAAGTGGAAAAATTTTTTCCTCACCTCTGACTAAAAGAAAAAGGTTTAACAACAACAAGAAATGAATTTGTATGTGCCCTGGTTTGGTACTTTAACCCCAGTTCGGTGAAATTTGCCACTAATAATTCGTAAGTAATACAGTTGGACCAGATTAAGCCAAAACCTCACCTCACCTTAAGCGTTAACATAAGTTTTAGAAAAATGCTGTCAGGACTGAGGGTGGATGAAATTCCCACCTCAGTTGATTTGGGATGGTTTCTTCTTGACGTTCCTATTAAAGATATTGACTTAGATACTAAGATGTCAGGCTGTCCCCTTCTTGTTTGAAGTCAGTCAGTGTAAGATAATTGACATCCAGACAGCTTTACAAACTAGAAAAATTCGCAGTAGCTAGTGAATAGATGGTGAGGGAATTTCAGTTGTTTTCATTTCGGAAAGCCTTCCCCCACCCTTGCACTTGCTGTCTGACATTTTTAGGTAAGCCTAAACACTGAGTGCTGATTATAGTCACATCATACTCTGTTTCAAGAGTGTAATATGTCAGGAAAAAAAACTGTATAAATTACTAAGGACTGTAGTATTTGCTCAGTGTGTGGTAAGATTATCTGTTAGACATCTTTATATGAACATGGAATACAGACCTAGCCCAGAATTAAAATAATTATCAAGTAGCTCAGTTCAAGTTGAGATCAGTCTTGGCATATATGTGTGTATGATTGTATTGATACATGTAGAGGCATTCGTGTGTTAGCATTGATGTGTTGTAGTGAATTTATTCCCCATTTAAAATATTTGGCTTAAAAAAATTTTTCTATCCTTAAAAGTTTAGTTTCCAGCATGTGTGGCACTAGATTCCGATTAATGTCTTCTTAAAAAGCAAGCTGTCACAATGGAACGGGTCAATTTTTGATAATTCTCTGTCTGTAAAAATCACTCATTGGCTTTTTACCTCATTTTCCCCATCTTTCAAAGGGGATAAAAGACACCAATTATTTCTATCATGTAATCCCTCTCTCTCCCCTACAGAATGTAGATTCTGGTCAAGTTTTGGGTACCTGTTCACCACAATATGTACCTCACTCTCTCTTCTGTTTTTAAATGTGTAAATCATTTAGTCAGTTGTTGATTTTTTTTTTAAGTAGATCTGTCCTAATTAAAAACAAAAAATCTTAAGCTTATATATATTTTTTCGTCTTTTCTGGGCAGAGAGGCAGATGAAGGCTGTAAAAAACCTTTAGAAAGATTGCTGAACATCTGGCAAGAAAGAAGTGTGTATGGCGGCGAGTTCATACAGCAGCTGAAGCTGTCTATGGAGGACTCCAAGAGCCCTCCCCCCAAAGGTAGAAACATCACCACATGTTTACAGCTCTTGGTCTTTGCCTACTTTCGAATCAAATATGAAAAGCTGCAGTGGGGGTTGCTGTGAACCACCAGCGATTATATGATTCTTCAGAGAGAGATGATCATGAATGATGGTGAGAATTTATGTAGTGCTCGCAGCGTGTAAGCCTGGTTCTAGTATTCATGCTATTCATCATCTCACACCCTAACTTTTGCTCTGTGCTCTCCTTGGCTCTCTTCTGTGTTTCAGAGACTTTCCTTGTACAAGGGAAAGGAACAACCAAGTTGTGTAGAGTTGTGGGGAACTAGGAAGCACCCTGGACTAAGATTTTGTCCTAGCCCTGCCACTAATTACTGTAAGATCGTGGTCCCTTAGCCCTTTCAGAACGTGGTTCCATTAAACATTGATGCAGTTTTGGACCATGATTTGTCAGATTGCTGTCTAAAATTGATTTGGGGCTTTACTGAACCCAAAGATGTCCTTGGGAAGTGTATACGTACTGTTTGTGAATTTTACCAAGTCCTCCTTAAGAGCTTGCGTTAGTTTTTCCTTTAAAGAGAAGATCAAACATTATTTGGTTCTTTAACTTCTGGTTGGCATGACATGATTTTAAGCTACAGATCTGATCTAACTGCACACAGACTCGTTGCTGGGAGGATCGAGTCCAAGTACTTACACAATAGTATTTAGGACTTGTTATAATCTGAACTAGTTAACTTTTCCAGATTCTCCTGCCATTCCCCCATATACACCACATTATTGGGCCGTACCCAACAGTTTTGCCCCTGATGCTCCGTTGGTGCCTCTTCCTTTGCATCTGTTGTTAACTCTTCCCCAAATGTCCTTCTGCCCCTTTCACTGTGTGGTGAATTCTTTCTTCAAGGATGCTGCCCTCCTCCTGATATCTTCCCTAGCTCGTCTGGGCACGTGTAGCCATTCCCTTCATGTGCCTCAGGTATTTCTCACATGCCTCTGCTATAGAATATAACCATGATTAGTACACATGATAATAGCATCCATTCAGCAGTCCTTTACTATGTTCCTTCCATGACTCATCCAGGTCTGAGTTTATATGCATTTTAAGGTGGGGTGACTTTCCTGTGAAACTAGAGTTTAGAGGCTAAGAATGACAGGTGCTTTCAGACTGCAGGTTATTGCTGTTTTACCTGGAGTTGATAACCAACAATTTTGGGGTCACTCTGGGCGGTAACTCCTGAAAAGCAAGATATTTCGTACTTTGGCTTCTGGTGGTGTTTGCCTTGTATCCTTTGGAGTGTTCTGCAGTGTTGGGGAATTATCCAGCATTCTTTCCTTTACTCTGCCTTCGAGTTCATTGGTAAACTGTGCTGGTTTCTAAAAACACCTTTGGGCAAGCAGGAGAGTTATGAAAGACAATGTTAGAAGCTAAGTGTTGAATTTCAATTCAACAATCATTTGCCGGACATGTGCTTTTGAGTCAACAGCTATGCTAGGTGCTATAGGAAAGAGGGAGAGAGGAGAGAAATAGCTCTGCGCTCAGGGAGCAGTCAGACAAATGGGGGGATGTGTGGCTGTGGTAGATCTGAAAATACCTCAGCTGGGTTTCTGAGATTTTTTGTGTGTGTCTAGACATTAACAATAGAGGTAGCGTCCCTCTGTGATGAAGGATAATGCTGATTAAAGATAATTTCTTGTCTCTTCTGTAAAGATGAAAACACCTATCGAAGGTTCCAACGTGTGTATATTAGTCCAAGCTAACCCACTCTGTCTTCTCGCTGTCGTCTTTGGACTTGAGTTATCAGAATATTTTACCACAGACCTTTCAAAATATTGATGATTTCTCCAGAAGTTTATTTCCAAATTTGAATAGTCCTTTTATATTTCAGACTTGATTCGTGGATAATTCTTTGTTTTCAGACAGCTTTAAATTTTATCTTTGAAATAAAAATTTTCCTGTGGCACTTGGACAGTTCTTCTAACATCAGAACATGTGTGAGCTTAGGAATTTTGTTTTAGAACTGGAGACTTCTTGAGTTTATCTCCCCAGGCGCAAGACCCCAGGTATTCTAAAGGTGTCTCTCTTTTCTTAGGAACACTCACGCTTTTGCCCGACTGACTGGAACGCCATTATTTACTTGAGTCACACATGAATCACACAGCGTCCTATAGTTGTAGAGGGACTTAGAAAGGAAAGACAGATACAAAGGAAGTGGCATGTATTGAGCATCTATTAGGTACCAACCTCTCTGCTGACTGTTTTTCATGTTTATTTTAGATCCATACAACTACTCTATGAATTTGGTATTATTTTCATATTTCAGATGAGGATACTAAGGCTCAAAAGGATATAAATAATTTTGTCCAAATAGATATAATGAATGTGGAGAATTCAAACCCAGATCGATATGATTTTAAAGTCTATGTTCTTTATACTCTACTTTTACCTGAAAGCTCATGGATTCAATAGGCTTGAATTAAGGTATGAATTCATGAGCAGGCCACCCTTTCCTGGGCCTTAGTAGAGTTAGTTTAGCTATTCAGAGCAGGAGTATGAAATCAGACTTCCAGAGTGCAAATCCCAGCTCTCTTGACTTCCAGGCCGTGTGACCTTGGGCACAGCATTTGACCTTTATTCACTGTACATTATGGATATTAATAGTAATGCCTCATAGGGTTGTGAGGCTCACTTGAGATAATGTAGGTAAGATGTTATGAATCGAGCGATGATAGGACTTTAATTTGTCCTCCCCAGTTCTAGTGTCTGATATTCTGAGTTTCTAAATTTGAACCGGTAGCAAAAGTAGGAGGAGACTTATTAGTGTTTTCGGCTTTCTCAGATTTTGTGTAAGACTAGAAAGCATAGTGGTTAAGAGCACAAGTTCTAGGCCCAGCGTCCCCGGGTTCAAGGCCGGACCTGCCACTCAGTTCAAAGTTTCATGTGCTTTAAAAACTATTTTTCTTTATTTTGCAGGGAGGGAACAAAGAATGAGGGAGCTATATTGCAAACAATATTTCCTGATTCTTTTCTCATTATGAGAGTAATATAAAAATCTGTGGGTTTTTCCTTTTTTTTTTTTCACCCCAGAAAATTTCAAGTGCATTCTTTAGAATATCCAGCTTTATTAAGTAGATGACTGCATTCTGTACTGTGATTTGGGAACCTTCAGGCTACTTTTTTGCCTTAAAATTCACAGTCTGCCATGGTGTCTGAAATTCTACCACAGTTCAGGTCTCCGAAAGGCATACCATAAACACTTAGGGAACCAGGATTACTTGGAAGTTCACTGAGTAGAAGACCCTTTGAAGATGCGGACAGGTTGGAGGACAGAATAGATGGTGTACAAAATGAAGACCGCAGGATTTCAGCCCTCTGTAGTGTTGCCCTGCTTGCAAACAGTGGCTAAGTTAGAAAGGGAGTGTAAATGCTTTGGTCAGAAGCTAAATTGATAGTGGAAGGATGCTTTATCTTAAATTTAGACATAAGAATCAGACTGACAGATTTCCTCGGTTATTTTTAATGGCTGACTAGATTGAGCATTATGACGCTGGGCATCATAGCTGCTAACTTTGTACAGATGAGTCAGGGTAGAGTTTCCAGAGCAGGCTGTCCTGTTTGTGTAAAGGGGCGCAACGATAGCTGTTTCTGGCACAGCACCAAGGCTTTCCAAGCTCAGTGCTTCCTCTGCCTTGAAGATGCTTCAGACTCAAGTCTGTTGTCGCTTTCCTAGGTATTAGAGGGGGGTGTAAAGGAGTAAGACAGTGTTTCTATCCGAGTGGTAAGTGCCTGCCAGTGACCATGCGAAGTGGCAATGGCCAAGTGCTGTGGGCGGTAGAGGGAGATGATGACGACTGAGAGAGGGGGAGTACTCAAGATGATACCACCATTACCATGAATAAGAGTGTAGTCTAAATTGGCAAAGGAGCCACTAGAGGCAGAGAGACCAGTTGGGACAGTGGTCTGGACAAGGCATGTAAGGGGCAGATTGCTGGTAAGAGGCCATGGGACGGAGTAGAAAGAGGAGATGGGTAAGATAGTCCTCACACTGTGGAACCTGCTAGAAGGTGGGACTTGGGAGAAATCCTGGTCATCTCCATGGCATTGTACTTGGAAGATGCAGCCAGTGGAAGTATTCATAATGGAAATAGGTAGCTCAGGAAAGGAGGAGCCCACTGGGGGAAGTGATACATAATTCATTTCCAGCTGGTCCTCCAAGTGGATAGGTGAGAAGTGGAAAAGGAGGGTGGCAATGGTTACCTCCATTTACACCCTCTTCCATCAGAATGGCAAAGGACAGAAATGGCCCTAAAGTTATTTGCATCATTTTGATTTTAGCCTTGTGAGAGTCTCCAAGTGAGTGGCAGCACGAAGTGGTGAAAGGAAATCCAGGCAAGGAGGCAGATAACTGGCTGTAGGACCCAGACTTAGACTAATGAGCTCTCTTGACTTAGGACAGACTATAGCTTGGGCCTTGATAGTCTCATGAACAATGAGGTGAGGATAGCAAAGAGGCTTACCAAGGCTTTCCAGTGCCTAAATTCAGTGATTCTGAGTGCGCTGTGGTATTTAGTGATGTGCGGTTTTTATAATGTCTGTGAGAGCTCAAAAACTGAAGGACTCGAGTTGTATAATTTTTTTCTGCCTTCTTTAGTGTATTTAACAATTAGCTATTGAGCGCTCCTCTAGGTGTTTGGAAGTGAACAAAACAATAAAAAATTTTTTGTTCTTGTACTTCCATTCTTGTGTCCATTCCTCACATGGCCATTTTGATGCTGTAGTGACTAAATGTCTACGTGGGTCACACCACACACTACAGCTACTGTGGGCAAAGTACTGCTAGATGTTTCATATGTAAATTATATCCTAATAGATTTTGTTTTAAAAATTAGCAGTCCTTGCTTTGCATACTAGCACAGGACTGTAAAACTGGCCATGCAAGCTGAAACCACACAGTGATCTTAATAACCAATGGGGACATTTACAATTGTTCTGTGACTAACATATTTTGTCGGAGAATTCAAACCTCACTGTTGATTGCAAATGCATAGTGAAACAAAAAAGATAGTATAACTATCTAGCATTCTGTAACATAAAGTTAGAAACATTGACCATTAACATGTGTATTTCTTTCTAACAAACTTTTCAAGAGTGGTTTGAACAAAGCTTGCTTGTTTATATAAATTCAGATATGGAGCAAGTATCTTTTCTTAGTGAATTGTCATACCCCTTTCTAAGTTTGAGTCAGCTCCCAGCATTTTCTCCTTTGTGCTTTCAGTGTCATGAAAGTTCTCTGTGAGTTCCTTTAACATGAAGGTTTTTGTCAGCATCACTTTCTCTGGGACATTGTCGCCCTTTTCATCACAACAACTTTCTTCATTCATGTTAATAAGGTGGTCTTCCCTGAGTTCCTCTGGCTTGTCAAGAGTCTCTAGAAGGGCGTGGCGGTGCCCGTGTTCCCACAGCCAGCTGTTTCCCCTGCAATGCCATTGATGGTCTGTTTCGATTTCATTCCCAGCATTGTTTTAGCTGTAGTTTCCTTGTGGCTCTTTCATCTTTGTCAGTCAGTCCCCTATTTTGATTATTCGTTTTTATAAAATGTCGTGTGGATTTGATCACTGGGAGACACCACAACAATACTTTTCTGTCGGTGTGGGAACGGAATAACAGATGTGCGGTGACCAGTCACTGACCTAGAAAGAAGTGATGTGGTTGCCCATCATGATGCATTTTTCTTATTTACAGACTGATTTGTGGACTGAAATTAGTAGCGAAGCTTGTTCTTTATGCAGTTACTTGTAGTTAATATGCCATGGTAACCGAAATTTGAACTATGTTGGTGAGGAATTGTGTCGTTTAACCATGGTAATAAATCTGCATAATAAAACTGCAAAGTGAGGGCTGCCTGTATTGCACATGGGTTTGTTTTTTTTAGAACAGACAAAACATTAAGAAAAAATAAAACCCACGATACTGACTTGGCTTTCACATCAAACAGTTTAGTCAGTTAATGTGTAAGGTAGAAAACAGGAACTACATCCTTGGTTCTAGAAGAAAATATTTAATTAAGCAGGAAGCGTACATTCTGTGTATAACACAGAGTTCTGAGGCAGGAGCATGGTGACCCCTCATTTGACAAATGGGAGGATAATTGTGTGGCGCTGAGTAATTTGACGGCAGTGGAAAGAGCACAGATTTTGCAGTTATACCTTTAAAGGAGTTATTTAACTTCCCTGGGTCTTCATTTTCTCACCTGTAAAATGGAAATATTACACCTTAGAATTGTTGGAAGGATTAAATTATTGCAATGCCTGGCACATGTTAGGTGTCCAGTTGTTCCTTTACTTTCCAAACCTAAATTTATCATTTAGATTTATGTCCGACGGTTGTTTGGCATTTATTTTGTATTGTTCAATTTGATGCAAAAGAAATGATTTTGGAATTAACACATCTATCATAATTTAAAAGCATTAGCTACAGATAATTAAAAATGTAACCTGTTAGTCTCAAAAGTGGTTAATTTAAAAATGGAAACTTAAATAATTTTCCCAGTGATATCAATCATATTTCTCAATGATTACTTTTAATTTTAAGGTAATACTGTTTTGTTTTCAATGGGATAGTTTAAAGGCTATTTGTTTTTAGAGCTTTTGACGCAATTTTATTGATGGATTTCTTGCTACTGTTTATTTCCTGAACTTACCCTGGAAAGTGTAAAGAATCTCATTTATACACAGTATATTCTCTCTAAACCTTCACACACATCGGATTGCTTCATTATATTGTCTGATAGGTTTCTTACCATTTTACTTTTCCTGTTAACTTTATTTATTTATTTTTTAAGATAATGAGGTTTCTTAATGAAATGTGTGTGTTTGGTAAGTTTCACTTTTCAGTGCTTGTTTTCGGTAGTATTTTTCCAGTGAGTCAATCTGAAGTGACAGACTAAGGCCATTTTTACTCTTTTCAGTAATGTATTAATAGAACTACCACCATTTTAAAAGAACTGGCATAAAGGTTAATGTCAAGCTATCTCTGGAAATGTACATCCCTCCTGCCCTTTTTTTTACATGTGACCCATTTGTGCATAGCATTTGATTCTTCCTATACAGGCTATGGTGACCCAAATTTGTCACTTTTTTCTTTCCTCTAGCAACAGAGGAGAAGAAATCTCTGAAACGAACTTTTCAGCAGATACAAGAGGAGGAGGATGACGACTACCCTGGAAGCTACTCTCCCCAAGATCCCTCAGCAGGACCCCTGCTGGTATGTTTTGACCCCCAGAGAATTGGGCAGAATGGCTTATTGAAGTGACCGCTTGTTGGAGATGATGGCCACAAGGTGGCGCCGGTGACCAATAGTATGGAATCACCACAGGGTAGCTCTCGGTACTGGGTGCAAGATCCCCCCAGTGAGGCTGGCCAGTCAGGGAGCTTGACTTGGTCTTTGCCTGCCAGGACGCTGGCATGGATTGATGTTTTATAGTATACCTGGACTTGCCTTTTTTTTACTCTTAGACGTTGAAAATATTCTCAAAAAAATAAATTTTGGTGAAAGGGTAGATAATGTTACAAAGACATTCAAAAGACCTCTGCAATCTCTTGTCTCCAATACCATGGTTGATTCTTTTAAGTAAACAACTCATGAGTTTCTAAGGACAGTCTGTGTGGCAATAGCAGATTTGCTACACTGTAACCTATTTAAATAGTAAAACGGAGTTTTTAATCATATATTTGCATTGTTTGGCTCTTTATATAAGTTAGCTCATGAACCCTGTGGGGTTGGTTCATTTTAGTTAGCTAGCTGTCTGTCTACAGTAATACCTGGGTTTGCGAGCATAATTTGTTCCAGAAACAAACTACTTGTATAGCAAGACATCACTCATTTACCACGTTAAAATGTATCAGTAATGTTTGCTCGTCTTTGAACACTCGCAAACTGTGTTACTCGCAATCCAAGGTTTTACTGTATCTATATCTATCTATCTATCTCTTTACAGTCAAAGAGAGTGAAGTTCAGGGAGACAGATTAAGTAACCTGCCCAATATCCTAATTTGAATCTGGGTCTGACTTCAAAGCCCGTGAGTTATACTGCCTAAAACAGCTTTACTTTATTACACATGGGTGTTTAAGGCCTTTGTAAATAAGAAGTATGTGATTTGTGTTATGTTAAAGTGTTGAATTAGACTGGGGTTAAATGAAAGCAATGTTAAGCCATGTATCTTTGCATTTGAAAACTTTGAAGAGAATAGCCTGAATTATCCACTTTCAGGATAACCTGACTACCATCTGTCTACGTGGTCAGTTACTACTAGGTCACATGGCCTGACTAACCTGTCAGCATTCTGTTTTCTGATCATTTAAAACCCCCTTTTGGTATCTAGAGTATGCATTCTTAATTTGCTCTTGTTGTTTTTTTCACCCATTTGTTTGTATTAATTAATTTGACACAATTTTGGGAGCGGCTGCCAAAATTGAAAATGTCATGTTTGGGCCGGCCGAGTGGCTCAGTTGGTTAAGAGCTCGCTCAAGAGTTTGAGCTCTGAGCAACAGCAGTTCGAGTCCAGCCCGAGCTGAGCAGCCGCTGAGCTGCCAACAGGTAGCAGGATGGCTCAGCTAAAGGGAAAAACAACAACAACAACAACAACAACAACGAAAATGTCATGTTTGTCATTTCATTTAATCAGTCAACACAGTTGTTAAACATCTGATATGTAGACCTTTATTATATACTGGAGACCATTCTATACTAGAAATCATGCATCATTTGATACTGAGCAATGCTAAACAGACACCATTTTTTAAGTTGCCCAAAAATGCTCTTTAAAACAGTTTTTAAAAGAATTATGTAAAGTTTTATTCATGTTCTGCCATAGACTTAGAAAAATTAACTTTGTACATTCTCTTAGCCTCCATATCATTGTCTTTGGTGTAAGCTCTGGGACTAAGAACAATGTTTTGTTAAATGTCAGGAATGATCATTTAAAAAATTTTCCTCCACCTCATTTAACTCCAGCTAATTTTCTTTTCAACACCATATGTCATAATGGATAGTGTTGTTTGTGTTTTATTATACAGACTGAGGAACTAATCAAAGCTTTACAGGACCTGGAAAATGCTGCCTCAGGGGATGCTACCGTCCGACAGAAAATTGCTTCTTTGCCCCAGGAAGTGCAAGATGTTTCTCTCTTAGAAAAAATAACAGGTGAGAAGGTAGCATTTGGATGAAGGATGAGGGAAGGGGTACATACCCCTAATGCATCAAACCCTAGGACATGCTTATGTCTGCAGGTGTAGACTCTTCATTTGGTATTAGGTGCTCTGCCATCTTGGGATTTGCAAACATAACTCACAGGCTGAACAGTGAAGCTGCTGGAAAAGTACAAGCTTGCATAGTGATTCTAGGAATTATTGCAGAAATGCTGGCGTGCCACAACTTACGGCACTCTAAAGAAGGGGGAACACAGTGCACACTGTGCACGCGGAGGTGCTAAGAGGGGAAGGCTTTACACTCATGACCCTCTTATTAAAACAAACAATAAAATTCAGTGCTATGTGATTTATACACTGCACACTGACACACCCCATAGATAATAGTGCCTTCCATGCCGAAAACTCAGGTATGTATTGTTAGTCGTGTCATTTTGCCTTTCACCACCAATGAAACAGGAAGAAGCAGTTGACATTATTCTCTCTTTATGAATGGGAAATGAAAAGGAAGGGATGAATCATAAACTAATACTTGTAGAGTATGCTCTGTGCCACATAATACTTCTTTCTACTCTTTGTGATAGATAATCTTTTGAGATCGCTGAATGTATATCCCAAGGAGGAAATTGGGGCTTTGAGATGTTAGGGGTCTTGCCCAAGGTCACACGAGTAGTGCATCTTGGGATTCCAACCTAGGCTGCAAAGCCTATGTTCTTGCCATTACAAAAGCTCAGATCTTTCCTTCCAGTCTCTTCCAAGGGCTACCATTTTTCCCCTCCAGTCCCTTGACTTGGCAGCTTCACAAGCTTCCTCCATATTCATTTAAAGAAAACCAAAGTTGCTCATGAAATATTTCCTGCATTCAATAAATATTTGAGGCACGCTGTGTGGCAAACGCTCTGGGTATCCCATCCACGTCCCCTCATGGGTTAAGTGCCAAAAAGAAGTAAAGCAGTGGTGTGGGGGTGGAGATAATGGAAGGAGGTACTATTGTAAAGGTAGGTGGTTCCAGGATGGCCTTTCTGATAAGGTGATCATTCATCAGAGGCCCCACCCAAATCAGGAAACTGGGCACAGTTATCTGAGGGGGGAAAGTGGCCCCAGGCAGAGGGAACAGTATAGTCAAGACCTTCAGGCAGGAGTGTGCTTAGTTGGAGAGAACCACATGAGGCCTTCCAAATCGTACAAGAAGCGTTCCAGCTCACTCCCTCCACTCCCCCAGCTCCAACAATGAAGCCCTGCTGGATCTGACAGCCTATTGATCCTTTCACCATTTCCCAGCCTTCACTCCCCTTATGTCCTCATTTTCTTCTTTATTCAGCTAGGATCTTTATAATCTTAAGTGTACAGTTCAGAAGTATTAAGTACACTCACGCTGTTGTGCAACCAATTACCAGAACTCTTTTCATCTTGCAAAACTGGAACTCTATACTCATTAAATAACTACCCCCCCACCCACACCCCCAGCTCCTGGCAACCACCATTTTTAAATCTAGCTTTTCATCTGTTTATGTCTTGGATCTGCACAGCTGAATGTGACTAAAGAAAACAACACACATTGGCTGACTTCTTCCTCTTTGTGTGGATGAACATGCTGTTTTCTAAACCAGCCCCTCTACCTGTTTGTTAGATCTGTTCTTTCTCCAGATCTCCTCTTTTCTCCTGTATCTCCTAGTTTTCCCCTCTTCTGGATCATTTATCCGCAGTGTAAAAACATGTATTTTCTTTCCTGTGTGGGGAAAAAAATGCTTTTTTGACCTGCATCTTCCTCTAGCTACCGCCTCATTTCTCTATTCATTATAGCAAAACATCCTAAATATCGATATATTACGTGTGCTCATCTGTCTCCATTTCCCCTCCTCTCATTTTCTTCTGAGTATACTTGACTGAAACTGCTCCTATCATTGTTGCTGATGACTTTTGTGTTGCTAAATTCAATGGTGAATATTTTGCCCAATCTTAACTTGAGGTCATCTAAAGTTGACCTCAGTAACATTTGGCCCAGTTGATCTTTTCTTTTTCCGGGAAATACTTACTTACTTGGTGTGGTAGACAGAAAAATAATCCCCCCAAAATGTCTACATCCTGATTCCCAGAACCTGTGAATATATTATCTGACATGGTAAGAGGGACTTTGCAGGTGTGATTAAATGAAGGCTCTTGAGTGGGGAGCTTGTCCTGGACTGTTCCGGTGGGCCCAATGTAATCACAGGGTCCTTATAAGAGGGAGGTAGGAAGGCAAGAGCCAGAGAAGGAGACAGGACTATGGAAGCAGAAGTTGGAATGATACACTTTGAAAATGGAAGGGGCCACAATAGTAAACGTTAATACATTTGTGTTGTTTTAAGCCACTAAATTTATGGCAGTTTGTTACAGCAGCTGTAGGAAACCAGGACCCTGTATTCCAGGTTTTCTCCTCTCTGGCTCTGTCTTTTCATTCTCCTCTGCTGGTCTCTTCACTTCTTGACCTCTTAATGTTGAGTACTTTGCCCTCTTTTCTAGCTAGATTCACTGCCTGAAGATGTTGGGCTCATCCAGTTTGATTACTTTAAGTTTTTTAAATGCTAATGATCCCTAATTTACATATCTAATGTTAACCTCTGTCTTGACCTTGAGACCCTTACATCCAACCTCCTACTCATTGTTACATATTTGAATCTCAGTTGACCTTTCAAACTTAAAACTGCCTCAAACCAAATCTGATTTCCCCTCCAAATCCTGTTTCTCTCAAGGTCTTTCCTAGCTTACTAAATGGTCCCCTCATCATTCTTGTTGATTGGAACCCCAGTCAGTGTCTGACACCTTTTCACCACCCACATTGCTACCACCTGGTGGAATCAACCACCATCTTCACTGGGATTAGCGATTCCTCCTACCTGGTCTCCCTGCTTCTTCCTTGTCCTCCATCCCCAGCCATCATTCTGTTCTCAACAGTGAGCAGAGTGAACGTGAAAATGGAAGTGGGATCTTGTCTGCCCCATTGGCTCCCCCAGTCACCTAGAATAAAAACCCACCTTGCAGCGAGTGGCCTCTACAGTTTGGCCCCTGTTACTGCATAGACTTTCTACTTTGCTCTTGCTCACTGCTCCAGTCATATGGACTTCTTGCCAACAGACACTCTCCGCTCCTAGGGCCTTTGTTCTTGCTGTTACCTCTGCTTGGAGTGATCTTCCCCAGATAGTCACATGATGTTCCCCAGATATTTCTCTAACTTCCTTCAGGCTCTGGTTTACATATCATATATCATCTCAGGGAAGCCTACCTGGACCACCTTATTTAAAATTGCAGTTCTTACCTGCCCCCGCCTTGTTTTTTTCTTCTCTGCCTTATTTTCTCTGGCGTTCTTATCTTCAGCTGATAAATGAGTAAAATATAGTATATTGTTTCTCTTTTCTACCTGAGAATATAAACGGGGGCAGAGAGGGTTTTGGTTTTGTCAGTTGCATTCCCTGCTGTCTCTGAGAGCCTAGAACAGTGCCGGGCACACTGAGGAGCCCAAATATCTGTTAAGCTCATTGAGCAGAGGATTGACAGCTATAAAAGTCTGTGATTGGATTGGGTTTAGTGACAATGGAGGAGCGAAGATGGGTACTCATCTACAAGGAGTATAGACGACTCCCTTGAGGAGTTCTGCTGTAAAGGGAGCAGGGAAGTGGAGCATTAATTGGGGGGTAACATGTGGTCCGAAGCTAGAAGAGCATGTTTGTATGCTGATGGTAGTGCTTCAGGAGAGGAGGAGAGAAGTTGGTGAGGCATGGGGAACCACAGGGGACAAGTGCAGAAACAGAATCTGGAGTAAGCAAGAGGGAACGGGATGCCTGTGCATGAGTAGAGGGCTGGCTGCAAGGCACACAGCCACTCCTCTAACAGGGAGGGCAGAGCACCTGAGGACCACCGCAGGTAAGTTCTCTGAAGTGAGCATCTCGCTGCTACATTTTGATTGCATTTTTTCTATAGCTCAAAACTTGTGCAAGTTATTTTTCTGGGTTATAGTTATTTGTGTGAATGAATTATCTCCGTTATACAAGTTCTTAGAGGGTGAGAATTGATTTTTTTTTTTTGAATCTTAAATATTTGTATTTTCCTGGCTATTTTTTGCCACATGTATTTAAACATCTTAATGAATTAAACATTGTTTTAAAAAATTGTATAGTTAAGCAATGACAAAGCTAAAACCAGCCTTACCACCCCAGCAGCTCATTCCCAGACTGGACCACCGATCCAGAAGAATGTCTCGCTGTCCTGTCTTCCCTCGCTGACTGAGTCTGTCTCTTTCCTTTGTGTTCTGTTTGTCTCACTCCTCTTTCACCAAGAACATCTTTTTGTTTCCCTGTCCTTGAAGAGGGTGGAAGTGCCTGATCTTAGGCATCAGGCCTAATTGGACTCCCTCAACTATCATCTCTCAATAGTCATGTTAAGAAGGCATCTACAAGCCAGACCAACTGTTTGCCAGAGACACCATGTTGGGAATTCATAATTCACAATTCCCTATGAGAATGCTGAGGTCTCTCACCTCTGACAGCCTATAATAGTGGCAACATGTCTGTATCACTGTAACTCACTTTTAGTTTGTCCCATAGAACTACTGGAGTCTCTGGTGCGCTGATTCAAAACACCCATCTACTCTTTTGATCCTTAAAGACCTTTTAAAAATGAGGTATACATATTTAAAGTTCTAATCTCACCACCGCCCAAGTGTAATTAATTATATCTGTTCTTTTAAATATAAATCATCCTTTTGTCTCTTTTCTCATTTCCCACTTTTGAGCCTTTTTTATCACTTCTCTCTGAGAATACATCGATACTTCAGCATAGTTTTTTTTCCCCAAACAATGAGTTGCAACCCATCAATTGGACATGAAATCAGTCTGTTAGGTAATGACCAACATATATTTTTTTTTAATGGAATACCAGATAGAACATCTTGCATATAGTAAGGATATTGTTTTATGAAACTTCTATTTCTTTTATTTTCATATGTGTGTGTGTGTATATATATATAAAGTGTATTTCTTAGTGTGGGTCATGTTTAGAAGCATTTGAAAGCCTCTGTTTTATCAGATCTGATATTTTGCTGAACAAAAGAAAAAGCTCATACCCATGTTCAAGGCTTGAAGAGTTTAAGAGGTAGGGTCCTTTGGTCCAATGTAGAGACCTGGTTTTGAGTCCCAGCTCCTTAGCTAACCACCTGCTATCAAATCTGTTGTGTGGTGGGGTTTTTTGTTGGTTTTTTTTTTTTTTAGTTTCCACACCCAAGAAATGAATGCCTGCTTTTGTATTTCATATAGTGCTTGTCTTTTGTATTTCAAAGGAATGTTCAGATAATACTTAAGAAAATAATATGAATGAAAGCACTTTTGAAATTCTCAGAGACCAGGAAAAATTATTTCATGTATGACCTTTAATATTTCTTTCTGTTTGTTTCATTTGTAGAGCTTTGGCAGGAATAGGCATTTAGAAATTTTTGCCAGATTTCCTTCCTTGTACAGTTGCCTCACTTCAGTTAACTCAGAAATGGCCTGTCTCATCTGCAAGATGGGGTGCCTGTGGAGTTTGCAGTCAGCCAGTCCATTTTTTTGGTCCACAGGTTCAGGCTTATCCTTGGCCTCTGTACTTTGGGAGAGAAACTGATGGCCTCCCCAGAAATGTTTGCATATTGTGTGATTTGTCTATTGTCTCTATTTTTTGGTCTCATTTGTGCTTAGACAAAGAGGCAGCTGAACGTCTTTCAAAAACGGTAGATGAAGCATGTCTGTTACTAGCAGAATATAACGGGCGCCTGGCAGCGGAACTTGAAGACCGGCGCCAGCTGGCTCGGATGTTGGTGGAGTATACCCAGAACCAGAAAGATGTTTTGTCAGAAAAGGAGAAAAAACTAGAAGTGAGTACATTGCAAGGCAGACCTAGACTCCCCAGGTTTCCTTTCCTGCAGTCTACAATAGAAGGTTTTTGTTCTGCCTTAATTAACATGTTTTTTTGTCTTTTAAAAATTCATGAAATGAGAACATCCATCAGATATTGCAATGATTTGAACATAATTGAAAATCGAAGTCACATTTTTATAATCTGAGAAAGAAAATCAGAATGCAGGGAACAAACAATGAACTTTTAAATCACAGCATTTAGGATCTTAATAATGCTTTAGTTTGAACTTACATTAAAAAAACCCACAAAAAACAATTATAGATTGAGGTACAAAAAAGAATAGGAGGTCAGCAAAACCAAAGACTCTTTATTTGGTAGTATTTGGGAAATACTTAAAAATGTCTTTCTTTTGGATTGTATTGAGATGTATTTCTGACGTGTATCCCCGCTAAAGCCAATAAGCAGTCTGCCTGCAAGCCGTCTGCAGTCGACTCTACAAGTTCAGCCATGTTTATAGGAGCCCAGTTCTCAGACTGTTGAGAAGGAACTAATTTCTACCCTGAGTTGACTTGAGTGTGAATGCCCTTGGGGAGGAGCTTCAGAGCTAGATCCTGGCCCTGCGTTTGTTTGGCTTGTTAATTGAGAAGGTGGTGTTTAACACCAGTGCCTTGTCCCTCTGGATGACAAAGCCAGCAGGGTGGACATTGGGGAACTTTTGCTTGCTTGCTGCAGGCTGCTGGGCTTCCTTTTCAGGAATCTCTGCCCTTCTTTTTCTAAAAAGAGACTTGGAGAAGAGTTGCAGCCAGTGGTTTGGGAGGCAGGTACAGTTTTGAGTTGAACTAATCACATTACAAGAGACCCCAGAGTAGATGAGGGAGGGGATAGTCCCCCTGCCCCGTCCTGCACTCAGGAAGCACTGTTCTCTGGCACCGCCGGAAGGAAAATGGAGCTGGTCCTGTGGCTGAGATTATTGTGTTTGCCTCTGAACACAGTTATCTGACTTGAGGGGGGAAATGAATGATGGGCACTTTTTATCATATCCTTACCTGCAGTGGGTTATGGGAGCGATGATGGGTAGTGGTATTGAGAACTTCCTATTCCTAGCCAGCTTGAAAGTGGACTACGGTAAACGGCTGTAAAAATAGCATGGCTTAGATTTAGAAATCAACACTGACCAAAAATCCTAAAGGGAGCTTCACAGGCAGTACCAGACGGTCATTTATCTGAAATGCTCGTCTTTCACTGAGGAAGCATTTTTAGCACTGTGCCCCGGGACTAATAAGAGAGTGTAATTAATGATTCTGGTTGTAAGTCACCATGCCATCTGTTGAACTGCCCCTTGGCGACACATTAAGGGTTTTCTCTGATCTGTCAGACATTGATTATCATGAGCAGCTGTTGGGTGGAATGTGGCAAGCAACCATAGAGATCAGAGTCTTTGAGAAGGAGATTGGGTTGGTAGAGTGGATTAACTCTTTATTCCTTTGCCTGCCTTACTTTTGCACTTTCCTCCCTATAGCATTTATAGAACCAGTGGTTGGCTAGATGCCATGAGAGGTCATTAAAGTAGAGAGATGATCAGAGATTTGTGTCTTTTCTGTAGCTTTCCAGCCCAGATTCCCGACTCACCTAGGCATTGGAGTTCTGTGGCTTAAGAATCAAAGCAATGGAAAGTACAGATGCTGAACTCAGGGTTCTTGTCCCAAACCATGTCTCTCAGCCACTTGAGCAAAATCATTTTTTATAAAAATGGAGCTAAATTTGCTGCATGTGAAAAAGCAAATGACTAGATACAACATAAGATGTTGAGATATGGCTTTAGTTCATTCTTTATGCTTGCTAAAAATGTGAACAGTCTGCTCTCTAGAATCTAAGATTTTTCTCTCACATCCCATAATAGACTGGTCTTATTTTGGTATCTCCTTATGGTGATGGTAAAACATGTTAGTGTGTGCCAATTGAAAGATACATTATTACTTTGAATTCTTCTAAATCCTCCAAGAGTCTCTTATTGATGAGGATAGTGCATAAACGATACTATTTTTTTAGCATTCTTTTTTTTTTAACACTACCCATCCTTGTTTTAAAACTGTCATGCCAAAATGCTAATGAACTGTGCTTTTATTTTTTTAATCCTTTTGTTGCCTTCACTGTATAAATACATGTGTAAATACATGGAATTCTTAGAACTTTGGAAATGTAATTATTTGTTTGAGAGTCTGTTATCTCAAAGTTCCAATTCCTTAACTCATTAGTTTTCTTTAAGTTTATAAATATTTTGTGAGTGAAATTCAGCACTTGATCTAATCTTTTTCTATATAGGAGTTTTTTCTTAAGTTGCTTGAAAAGTGTTTTATCTGCAGATTTTTTTTTTAATTGACAAATTTACAGACCATTAAAAGTAACCATTTTAAAGTCGATGTATTTCAGTGACATTTTGGACATTTATAGTATTGTGCAGCCACCACTTGTATGAAATTCCAAAGCATTTCACATTTCATCACACCAAAAGAAAACCTCATGCCCATTAACCAGTCACTCCCTATGCCCCGCTCCTCTCACCCCTGACAACCACCAGTCTGCTTTCTGTCTGTATGGATTTGCCTGTGCTGGACATTTCATAAATTATGTCTGGCTCCTTTAACTTAGCATGTTTTTTGAGGTTCATCCACATTGCAGCATGTGTCAATACTTCATTCCTGTTATGGCTAAATTGTCCATTATATGGATATGCAACAATTTGTCTATTCATTCATCTACTGATGGACATTTAGGTTATTTCCACCTTTTGGCCATTAAGAGTAATGCTGCTATAAACACTTGTGTACAAGTTTTTTGCATGGACAAATGTTACTATTTCTCGTGGGTATATGTATGCCTAGGAATGGAATCAGAGTCATATGGTAATTCTGTGTTCAACTATTTGAGGAACCGCGTAACTGTCTCCCACAGCAGGTGCATCATGTTGCATTCTCACTAGCAGTGTGTGGGAGCTCCAGCTTCTCCCCATCCTCTCCAACACTTATTATTGTTTGTCTTTTTTTTTTAATCTTAGCCGTCCTAGTGGATAGGAAGTGGTATCTCATGCGGTTTTGATTTGCATTTTTCTAATGATTAGTGATTGAGCATCTTTGCATGTGCTTGTTGTATATCTCTTTCTGAGAAATGTCTCTAAAAGACCTTTGCCCATTTTTTGAATTAGGTGGTTTATTTTGTTGTTGTTCAATTGCAAGAGTTTTGTATATATTTTAGGTAATAGACTCTTGTCAGATATAGGATTTGTAAATATTTTCTCCCATGCTGTATCTTACCACTTTCTTAAAAATGCCCTTGACGCACATAAGTTTTGAATTTTGGTAAGTTCCAGTATCTTGTTTTTTTTCTTTTGTTTCTCGTGTTTTCGTGTCACATTTAAGAATCCATTGCCAAATCCTAGATCATGAAGATTTACTCATGTATTTTCTTCTAGGGGTTTTATAGTTTTAGCTTTTACATTTAGGTCATTGGTACATTTCGAGTTGATTTTTGTATATGGTGTGAGATAGGGAACCAGCTCATCTTTGCATGTGGCTATCCAGTTGCCCCAGCACCATTTGTTGAAGAGACTATTCTTTTCCTCACTGAATGCTTGCCACTTTTGCCAAAAAAATCAACCGGCCAGAGGTGTATGAGTTTATTTTTGGACTCTGTCCTATTCCATTGATCTATATGTCTATCGTATGCTGGTCACTATAGCTTTACATTAAGTTTTAAGATTGGAAAATGTGAGTCCACAAACTTTGTTCTTCTTTTTTAATATTGTTTTGGCTATCAGGAGGCCTCTTGCAATTCCATATGAATTTGGGGATCACCTTTTCCACTTCTGCAAAAAGTCTGTTGGAATTTTGATTAGGAATTGCACTGAATCTGTAGATTGTTTTGAGGACTCATAACATCTTAACAGTCTTATCCATGAACATGGGATTTCTTCTCATTTTTTAAAATCTTTAATTTCTGCTGCAGGATTTTAAAAAGCATGCTAGAGTACCACTCACTGATGCATTTCACATTACAGAGGTTCTGTTTAGGTGTCATAAGTATTAGGGTTGCCTTTCAGTAGGCAGTGGTTACCCCCACTTTGAGAAGGTAATGGGTATGTATGTATTTGTGCTCAATGAAGTTATTAGGGCACAGCCATGTGACAGCCAACTTCACTCTGCAGAGTGGCACATAGAGGCCTGGATGTCTAGATAAAGCCTTTAACAGAGCAGAATGGAACTTGAGAGATTGTATAGTCTGACTTCCAAATTGATAAAGAAACTCAAGACCACCCAGAGAAGGAAGTTAGCCACAGACCAGGAATAGAATCCAAGGCAGACATCTGATAACTTTCCATCAGGCTTGTGTTTTTGTTTGTTGTGGTTTTGTTTCTTTCAAATTTGATTCCATAAGGTCAACAGCAGGAGGACAGCCTACATGAATCATTTCAGCAATCCCCAAGAACCTTGTTTTGGTGAAGTGACATCTTATATAGGGGGATTCAAGTGGTTGCATGATGCATTCCAGAGTGACCTCCAAGAATAATGCCTTCAGTTTGAGAGTACCCACTCTGCCACCAAGGTTCTAAGTACCCTGCTCGCTGTAACTTTGCATGTTCTTGCTTTGAGGTAAGGGAGGGGAGGATTGGCTCATTGAACTTGCAACTGCTGCTGTTTTTCCCCAGCTTGTACCTCCCCCTTGACTGTAATGAATACTCAGGAATAGAGTCTTCTAGTTCAGACAACACAGCTGGGGAGGGGAAATGGCCCAGAATCCAACATTGCCGTGTGACTCTTCATATTTCTGTTTGTAATTTGGTTATAACAACTTGAGAAATTCTTTGGCTATAGCTGAGGGAGTACTAAACCAAAGTGATGGCCATCTGTTGTTTTTGGCAGCATTCTCCACCTCCCTGCAGGGTGCAGATGGTTAAAAGCATTCATTTCAATAATGGGATAGGCAATAGGTGGAGATAGAGAGTCTACTTTGAAGTAAATT